CCTACGACTTGGCCTGCCCGTTTGACCGCATGGACAATGATTGGTCGACGCCCGCGGACTGTCCAGACAGATGGTCTGATGTGTGTGAGTGTGTATTTCAAGGTGCCACCTTGCCAACAGATCTGTACACGAACTTTCCTGTCGAGGAACCGGGCATGTACGCAACTTTGCCAAACATTGCCATTTATGGGACATCTTGTGCTGCATGGGATCAGATTCCAGGCACTCCTTGGGCGAAGCAGTGCATGGTTGGCTCCAACTGGACAGATTCTGAGTTCAACTGGTGCCAGATCCCCTGGTGCTATGTCGACGCAAGTTGTGCATCGAGGAGACATAGCCTAGTCTTCAATGGTTCCAGTACCATCTTTTTCAGCTATGATTCCTGTGGCAATGCACCAGATTGTTACAACCAGTACGACACTGACCCCAGATGTCCGTACGATCCTTACGACAGTCAGCACTTCGTGTTGCACAAGGGGAGGGGCTGTGAGTGCCTATTCCACGGCAGGGAGTTACCACCCACTTTGTTTCAGGACTTCCCCATGCTGGACCCGGGAAAATTCGCCAGCCTGCCGCATGTGAGCGTTTATGGGACTTCTTGTGCGGCCTGGGATCAAATCCCTGGAACACCATGGGCGCAGTATTGCCCTTCAGATGCTGACTGGTGCCATTCGCAGAACAATTGGTGCCAGCTGCCGTGGTGTTACGTGGCAGAGGAGTGCCCGACGCGCATGGACGGTAAAGTTTTCGAAGGAGCTATGACGTATTTCAGCTATGATACATGTCTGTCAACGCCACAGTGCTATCAAGATCCATTTGATGAGGCCTGTCCTTTTGACATGACAGATTCTGGCTGGTCTACTCCGGCATCATGCTCCATGGGATGGTCCGATGTTTGTTCCTGTGCCTATCAAGGCTCAACCTTGCCAGAAGGGCTCTACCTGAACTATCCTCGGCAGGACCCAGGAAGGTATGCCCACTTAGCCAATGTTGCGATTTACGGCACCAGTTGCGCAAGCTGGGACATGATGCCTGACACTCCATTTGCAAGTTTTTGCCCCCCAGGATCAGATTGGTCCAGTGCTGCTTACCATTGGTGTACCCTCCCTTGGTGTTATGTCGAAAGCCTATGCCCATCTCGTCACTTCTCTTCTGTGTTCAATGGCTCTCGCACTACTTGGTATAGCTATGATACTTGTGGAAACACTCCGAACTGTTATGATTATTATGATACAGACGAGCGCTGTCCATACGACCCGTCGGGCACGAACTCCTACACTCTGCACAA